AAATTCAAACACTCACCCTTCTTAGAAATGTTTTTGAGCTCGACCACAGAATATGTCACATCCGTGGATTCATCTGAAATATACAATTTATTTTATATTTAAAAGAGTGAACCTTGAATTGTCATATTCCAGTATTTATATTTACTATACTGTACCATTTGCAGGTTCTTCAGGGCCTTTGACTGATTCATAGAGACAGGCATTATCTGAAGAGAAATCAAAATCAAACCCAATTCATATTAAAATCCTTCTATATGAACTCCTACATTTTTAAAGACAACCAATGAGAAATGGAAATGCTACGCGGATGCTACGTTCACAAAAAATTCAAAACGTATTAAGGATTCAGGCTGACCCTGAAGAACGGAAGCATATTCCCTTTGGTTAGTTTTGTCCTGGTTGATCATGTGGTCTGTAGCAGTGCTCTGATTGGTCCTCTGAGATCTGGTGGGCAAAACAATGTAGTAAATGAAGTGGATTCATAAAGGAACATATGAATGCTGTCATGTTCATAATAAAATAAAAAAGAGCGTTGTACCAACCTGATATGGCATGAATCTGTTAAAAAAAAGAAGACATTTGCTGCTATGTTATTATGTTTTGCAAAGTGTTCTACTGTTAAAACAGTACATGTGGTTACATTAGAGTCAATCTGATATCAGAAGAAAATGATCTCACCTTTTGACTTTCTGTATAAATACAGGAACAGCAGCAGGAGAATAATCAGTACAACTCCACCAAGCAGCCCAACGATCAGAAGAATGGGAAATTGAGAGGCTTTTCCAGGCCCGGACGCTGCTATTATAAGTAATCTTTATTAATATTTATTTTATATTAAACGTTCCTGTTATAGATTAAAGGGGGGGTAGGTAAGTTTGAGAAACCCGCTCGTGATACACTTTTTGTTATATTCTATGGAATGCTCTTAACATCCCGATAGCAATGAATATCTTAAGTGCTTTGACAAAGAATCCATAAAAAAATGTCATCTGTGGAAGCCGTAATACTGTAAAAAGCACGACCAATCATTTTAGCCGGCACGGCTAAAATAATTGGATGGCCTACCTGCCTGTCAGCCTTCCATCTGTGCACAAACTTATCTCGTGCCCTCATTGGTCATGTGCGCGTTCGTGTGTGTTGGAGGAGGGGCTCTGTAAGGAAGTGGCAGATTTTTTCCGGTTGTATAATTTCAAATTCTAGCGCACTCGAGCTGGTTTCTCCAAAATTACCTACCCCACCTTTAACTGTATAAAACATCTCTCTTAAACAAACACAGTTTAATTCAGATGAAACTAAGCTTTCTTTATCTCAGACTGTAACACAGCTTACAAAAAAGGAAGGGTTTTTAAATCATACTTACATTTGACTGAGAGCCAACTCTCTGGTGACGTCCTACCATCTGCTGAATCTCTCTGTTTACATTTATAAAAGCCTTCGTCTGACTTTGACACTGCAGAGATGTTCAGCTCCTTCCTGGTATCGCTCTGGATGAGTTTGTCATCTTTATAGAAATCCACATTATAAAGAACAGTTCCTGTCTTGAACTTGCAGCTAAGAGTGACAGAACGTCCCTCAGCCACAGGATGGACAGGACTCACCAGGATCATTTCATAATCTGAAAAGAAATCAAAGAATATAAAGGCTTTGACAGAGTCATCAGCTTTTGCAGATTTAATATGTTTATGCACAACTGGCCTAGTCTGGCAGAAGCTGAAATGTCAGGTAGATGTATGAGGACATTTAAACACAGAATATTATCTTTGATCTTTGAGAGAAGTAACCCTGGAAATCACTTCGCAAATTGGCCTTTTTTATGAAGTTTTACTAATTTGAAGAGACATTTGGCTAATGCTTGTCACCTTCACATTTCAAAACAACATAATACTTCAGAAACAAACATTTTAAATAATTAAAACTCACCATCTTTAGTGATGTTGACTGCATTACTGAACTGTCCGGTTTCAGACTCACACCAGAACACTCCACTAACCCAGCTGCTGGTTAATGTGCATGTGGATCCAGTAATTTTCCCCCAGGAAGAACATCGATAAAGGTATGATTTCGTAAACGTCCTCACTCTCCACTCAGTGGAGTTTCCCTCACAGCTCAGTGACACAGACGTTTTGGTGAAGTGCTGCACACTGTCAGGACTCACCGTGAGAGACGCTGCTGAATTCAAATCTGAAACACACAAAGAGTGGACATTTAAACCATGCAGACTGAAAAAGACAATGCATTGGTATGGCAAAACTGCCACTTAATTTACCCTGAAAAAACAAACGGGAATAAACTAAAGTAGGAGGAAAGTACCAGTGCCTCAATCTCACACTACAAATGTGTTTAATTATATGTATTGTTTATGTCTTAAACTATTTAACCTGTTACGCACCACCCCCCCGGTACCAGGCGGATAAACGCGTCATTTGCAGGAAACAACGTCTAAGGAATCTTAATATTTAATAAACTATGAATGTTTTATATCCATGTAACGGGAAGAAACTCAGCTAACTGATCTTTTAAAAAATGTTTTCCAAAAAAAACCCACAATGCTAACACTCAGCCTCTGAATTAGCCACGTGCGAAAAAATGTAACCTAAAACTGCACCTAAACTCACTCATAACTCCCTTATTACTTATCCTAGATGCACAGCCAACCCCTCGTTTAGCATCTCCTGGAGACACAGAATCTGTTTAAAAAACCTCAACACTCAGTGATAAACATTTGCGACGCTATAAACGAAAGCGTACATCAGAACATGTGGAGCTAGGTAGCTAGAAACGCTAACATGGCTTACCTTGGTCAAAACTGGTCTTCAATGGCATTACCACGATAAAAAAACGATGCTGCAGTTAATCCATAGGTTAATCCAATGTGTCTGTGTCCTCTTTGAAATGATTTCTGATAATGCATAAGCAATAAAACTGCTTTTTCGTTTCCAAATGTCAGAACTAGAGATAGGTCCACTCTGAGGCAAAATTACATGCGCGAAGCCCCCACCTCTTCTCTTCACAACGAGTGTGTGTAGGGGCCTCTCCCTTCGATTCTATTGGCTCTAACGGTCAGAAAGAGGTGTGAACCATCCAAATCGACCAAGGGGGGCCAGAGATATGGAAAAAAAAACATTTTCACCCAAATCACCTCAGAGTTGGAGTGGTTTTGGCTAAACCTCTCTAAAAAGGTCAAATGTCACTTGTTTTGCATCAATCTTATATGTTGTACTTTGGATTCCTAAAGCTTTTAGTCTACTAACCCATCATCCAAGGGTAGTTTTCACTATAAATAAAAAAGAGTTTTTGGACGGACACTATAATTTACGGTTTTTTACTATGTAAAATCTGAATTTCCTTTCAAATAAAAAACATCTATATTGATTCTGACACTTCTACATCCAACTCACAGATGTAACCTTGCGTTGATAAAAGAAATTATTCATATAACCCTTTTAGAAGTTAAGTTGTAGTCATTTGTTTTGGGCATGTCATTTTCGAGCCTGAAACATGAAAAACAGGCTTGGTGCTTAACAGGTTAACCAGCAGATAAATATCTTAAAACATATTCCAAACTATAAAAATAAAGAAAACACTTACCACTTATATCTAATGTATTGTAGAAGCCTTATATTATTAGGTTTTAGATTGACAAAGTCTAAGGTTTGAACCATGGCGAACAACAACTCATGTGTCAGGATGAAAAGAGATTATTTTGTGTTCAAATTCAGTCAAGTCCAGAAGATGAATCAGTCAATCATCATTCTGTTTTAGAGAAAGGTTTTGAAAACTGAACTATGACCTGATGCTGGTGTAAAAGAAAAGTTCCCAAAATAAGTGACTTTGTTCCATTTTGCAATAATGGAAAAGTCAAAACAAACCTCAAGACCAGGCAAACTTTGATAAAGACATTTGTTGGCCTTATGGTGGTACAAACTACAGAAAGAAAGAAAAAGAAAGAACATACTGACCTCCAGACCAGATAAACTTAGGTTTACTCTGCCAACTGTAAAACACTGGATCTCCTCTTCCTGCTTTGCACACATATCCTGCTGTGTGCGTTTGTACATCAATGATGAAGAGATGCTGTTCAGTCCCATTCTCGCTGCCAGGTAGCAGCTCATAGTCGTAGGAGCTGTAGGAGTATGACAGTTTGGGAACAGCCTTATACCAGTAGAAGCTCCAGCCAGCAGACGGATGATCAACGCTGCAGTTCAGAGTTACTGAGGCTCCAGGACTCGGCCATGATGGAGACACAGTGAGGACAGCCTCAGGTGTGTCTGTTGGAAAACAACATTTCACAGAATGATAACATTATGATGTATAATTGGTGGGTTACATGCACTCCTTGGATCCTACATATGTTCTGCATACAGTATGTAAAAAACAAATTTAAGTGTGAACTGTACTTAAATATAATAACCAAAATACTATTTGTATATACAGTAAAAAAAAGGTAACTGATAATAAATGACTTACTCTCAGAAACTGTCAATGTGAAAACAATCCATTTGTCACAGGTAATAAATTATATCAAGGTTTGTTGGTGAAGTATTATCTTTATGTAAATGCTTTGATGTAAGAAACTGATCCCTGTCTTCTTATTCTTATTTTAATACTCATTATTTTGTGATAACGAAAAGCCCAGGATTGTACAGTATACTTCACCTGCCTATACAGCGTCAGTGGAGCTGTTCAAACGTTAAAACATTACAATAATTTAGAGATTATATATTAAAACTTGTCCAAACTGCGTGTTCACATCAACATGGCTCATACATAAATAACAAATGTTTTTATTGAACTTCGTCATGGTGGTATTACTTTGATCACTTACCTGATACATTTAGATAGATTTTATTGCTTTCCTTTACAAGATACAAAAAGTAAAATGTGTTTTCTTTTTGTCAAAAACAGTATTATACATTGACCAAACGGATGTTGTTTGGAGAGTTACATCGGTAGATTTGTCTAGAATGAGTAAACAAAAAGTATGAAAATTGTATAATTACCTTGAGCTTGTCCACGGTAAAGTAAATACAGAACTGAAATAAGTATGAAACTAAATCAGACATTATCAAACTGACAGAATTATATATTAACCTCAGGCATTTAAAACGTTTTATCAATGGCAATTAAAACAGGAAAAGTACTCACAGAAAAAACCCCGTAGACAGAGCAAAGTGTGTCCCATCTTCACATCCAACACTGATAATCTGCTTCTGAGAAAGTCTTCTACTTTGTGCAAATAGAAAGACTGAAACTGCAGCATATGAAGAGAAATCAGGAACTACAGAGAAACAAATGCAATGTAATATTGGAAACGGAAGTCGTGTTTTTAACTTCTTTACATGGTCAGGGCTTCCTTCCCTTTTACACAAAGCTCACACAACTGAGCAGCTCTAATATCACGTAATGTACAACAAGGTTCGAGCCACATGATCTGAATCAGACATGTAACAAATAATGTTGTAGTACAATGTTTTACACTAATTATAAGTACACAGAAAGTAAGTATAGATAAATTGTCATACTCACTTTATAATCCATGGGCTTTCTCACCAAAACAGAACATTTCATATGAAAATGTGTGTGTTCAACAGCATGTATCACAAAGTTAGACAGTGTTGCATCCAATCACATCTTTTTTACATCACTAGGAGAAATTCTAGCTTAATTTTAGAAACATCCTCACCCACAGGAAGTGCCTCATATGCGGCTTTCACACCAGCGCTTTTCCCTTTCTAGCTCCTAGCGAGAGCTTTTCTGGTTCAGCTCCGGTTTCCCTTTTCAGCTCCCGCTCTGTTCACACCACCCAGCTGCCTCTGCTGCGTCATGACGTCACCATTTACATCGCTGATTTTCTCCCCAACGGAGCTCACAACAACAACGGGGGGGGACTACGTTGGGTCGATGATCGTGTTGCTTTTAATCATACGAAGCCAGATTAAATTAAATAAGGACTTCTCCAACCTTATACTTTTCTCCAGAGTGCCGTGGTTCATTGTTTATTAATGTGTTTCAGCGGCATTTACCGACCGCTGCAGTGCTGGCTGCTCTTCCACGGGAGTTTATTCTCCCGTTAGCTCCGGGTTAGCTCACACGGCTCTAAAGTATTCACTGTCTGACTGTCACACAAGCAGCTGATACATATCCCCAGTTCCCCTTAAGTGAATGTGTGTCAGTCTGAATTGACGCTGTTTGGCATCACAACGCTGTTATGAAAGTTTCTCTGGTATAACATGGGTGATGTTGGCATAGCAACCGAAGCTAAACTGACTACTTGCTAAGCCGTTTTCTACAGGCACTTTTTACCGGCGTATTTTTCATTATGATTATACTTGTGATAGTCGGACATGACAACCTGTGCAGCCCATGTATTGATTCCATCCGATAGCTGCTATAATAACAAACAAAACGTCTGCCTGCTCTCCACAATGATCAATAACAGCGAACGGATGGTCAAAGTAAGGTACAAATAAACAGAATCACACGAAGCCTGGTTAGTGTTGCCTGACTTTATAAAGTGTGTGGTTGCCTTCTAGTCACTTTGCTCAGTGCTACTGCTTGTAGGCAGGCATGACGAGACTCTTCAGTCGACCCAGGTTCAGGAGAGGTGGGTTTAGTTTCCTGCACGCCTCGACGTAAGAGAGACGTAAGCGACGCCGCGTCATAGCTCCAAAGCTCTTGCCTCTAGACCGACAATTTTTTGGAGCTGGAAGTGAACCGCATTCCGGAGCTATGACGCGGCGCCGCTGCGGTGTGAACAGGAAAAAGCGCCGGTGTGAAAGGGGCAATAGTGTCTTTCCAGATGTGAGTGTAAAGAGCCAAAGTCCTGCCCCCTCCTCCAGAGATAGATCTACTTCAAGGCGTCATAAGTAATAAAGCCATCATTTAGACATGGAAAACATTTTAATTCTAGGAGCAGTTTTACAAAGCCGATGAAAATGATCAAATTAAATAAATACCAAAAGACTAGTTATGTATTTTTAAATGTTGTCCAGGGATTAGTGTAGCCAGAAATAGTGTGACAATCACATGAGAAATTCCAGTATGTTTTCAGTTAATATTGGTTTCAATAGAATCATTTGTATAATTGAATAAAAAACAAAAGGTCATTTAAGGTAGCTTTTTTACTAAAAACAAAAACAAACTGCTTAACATAACACACATGTCCCCATAACTTTTAGAAATTAACAACTTTGTCCCATCCACTTTGCATTAGGATAATTTGTTAAAAACATTCTGAAAATAGCGAGCACAAAGAATTGTACACTTTGAGAAAGGTTGTTTTGTACTATCTCGAGGACTGATCACACTTTTTAAGTGTATTTCTGCTAATCCAAGTGGTGAAATATGCACCTGCGACAGGTTTAATATAAGTAATAAATGAATATAGAGTAGCTTTGCAGCAGCGTAGCATAGTTACTGTACTAGTTGTCAAAAAAAGTATTGTAAGTATTCAGTAGGCCTATGTATATTTATTTATTGTTTGCGGGGCTCTTATTGCAGGAGTTTTTCAAAATCTGAAAAAATATTCCCCACCACTTTTTTAACAAAGTGTAAAGAACTGATTTATTATTTATATTGGTTTGTGTCCTATATAATTTACTTTTTTCTTAAATGTTTTTGCTACATCTAATTGTTTTACTTTAGGCCTGGAACCAATGTAAAGTTCAACTACTTACAATTATTATTTTTACAAAATATTTTTGCGTTTAATACAACTTTTAGCAATAAATTCAGTTTCACGTGCCAACCATAGACTGTATATAAATGGACGTAGGGTCCGTGAAGTCACCCATAGGATACCGCAAAACCGCATTTATGCACCGTCTGTTTTAACCGCAGAGCGAGTCACAATAGGCGCTTTCACACCGGAGTACTTTTCCCCGTACTTTTCCCGTTTAGTTCCGTTAGTGCCTGGAATTTTGTGTTCACACCAAAAAGAGAACTTAGTTCCGAGAAGTTTTACCCCCATTTTTTGTGCCTGCTAGAGAGGTGGTACTATCCTGGGGAGAAGAAAGTACCAATTTCTGATTGGCTGGGCGAATTGTTTGCAATTGGTACTTTCTTCCACGCCCCGTAAAACTCTGAAAACTTTTGTGAAGCCGCCATTGTATTTGCTGGCATTAGCATTATTAGCATTAGCATTAGCCCCGCACACCAACGGAGAGAGAATAACTTATGGCAACACAAAAAAAAACATGGGATGGAGTGATGAGGAGGTGTCGGCGTTCTGGCGATTTACTCGGAAGGCTTTTTTTGTACTGAAGCCAGTCCCCAACTTTGGGGACTTCGGGTGGCAGTATACGCCGTGAAGTGGTTTGCGGCCTGCCAGTAAACCCAAAGCAGAAGAAGAAGAAGTGACGACAGCGGCTTCATTTGCGTAATCTTCCCTCAGGGAACTTATTCCGGTGTGAACGCGATCTGTACTTAGTTCCATGGGGGTACTAAGTGCTGGCACTAAGTGCGGCAAAGTACTTGGTGTGAAAGCGTCTATTAGTCCGATATAAGCATGAAGAACAAACAAACACGGCCGGGTTCAAGTTCTGTTCCCTGGATGAGCTGAGCAGGCAGAGTCCCTGTAGCATCACGGAGCTGCTAGCAGAGAGACAAGAAGCTTACAGCAGCAGTCGCTTGACAGAACTGTCACTCAATGTGACCACGCCCTAATTTATGCAAAAACGTTAAGACCTAATATAAAACAATTCACTCACCAATTCATAATCATGAAGGTGGAATCTAACTATATCCCGAATAATTTGTATTGCATCCAGGGGTAGAAACATGTTTATTTCTGCTGTAAAGTTGGGCATTTTAACATGGGGGTCTATGGAAATTGATCCTTTCTGCAGTCATCGCCTATCGGCCAATAGATGAACTGCAGTTTGTGGCACTTCCTTATTGGCGTCCCGGCTCTGCCCCAGAGTTTGCCGCTTGGTTCTTTATTATAGTAAAGTGGAATACATTTTATTAATTGCCAACTCCTGCCAATTCCTGCACAACAGATTTGAAATCAAAAATAGAATTGAAATAATATTGATAATAATATAAATATATCTATATAAAAACTAGATCAAATGACTATTGTTTATATAAAAATGGCAATCATAGCGACAAAGTCAGATAATTGCTTGGAGAGAGCAATTTAAAGGGGACCTATCATGCAAAATGCACTTTTGTACGTCTTTTATACATGAATATGTGTCCCCGGTGTGTCAGGGAACTCACCAAGTGTCAGAAAACACAGCCCTCTCTCTTTTCCTCCATACCCAAATCTCTAAAAACGGGGCTGCAACGGAGCTGATCCAGATTTGAAATTGTTCTGACGTCAGAAACGGGGAGCTCCGCCTATATGGGCAACTCTCCACCTATCAGGGGGTTGGGCCACGGCCATTGCCGCTCGAAAGCGCTGGAGATGCTGTAGTACATATGCCAGGCCTGTAAGTGGCGATGTAGTCTGCCACAAAAGCAGCGAAGAAGACTTCTCACAGAATCAGCTCTTGCAAAAACAGGGCTGGAAAAGAACAAATAGAGCGAAATGAGGCATGGCTAAAATGCAGGATCTGTTTGGTGTTTTGAAAAAAGAACTTCACAGACATGTTTTATATAGGTATGGCCCTACAATATATTATTCAAATATAGCATTATAGGTCCACTTTAATGTCTTTGAGCTCATTGCTTTGGTTTTAGGGCCCGTAACTTTACAATACAGCAAAGCCTTATTATAATTTTAGATATAGCTCTGTATACATATATAAAATAAAGATGTGCGTGTGTAGGACAAAATTAATGGAATATAAAGTTAGAAAACAGTATTGCATGTACGTAATGTAACAGTCCAGGCTTAACAGCAGCAGTATTATGATAGTACGGCGAGATGGTGGGGACCAAAAACAGAGCAACAAGAGAGTGAATTTGGACTTATATACATTCATCAGGTGGCTAGAAACACAACTCTAAATTATCGCTAATGTTGAATGTGTGTAAATTAGCAGCTAAACATTTTACAAAGTGATCACAGCTTGTTTCACTGCCAAAAGGTGCCCCAAAAATTCATTAAAGTAGTCATAAAGAAACTCTACTTCAGAATGCAGTCAGAGTCATTAGCTGCTTTCACACCAAGTACTTTGCCGTACTTAGGCTGCTTTTACACGGGAACGTTTGCGTTTATGCACAGTATGCGTTTTCAAAAAAGTCTTCCGTTCACATGCATTCGTTTCATTTAACGTGTCTGTTCAAACGAGACCGCTGGAAACGCTGTAGTACATATGCCAGGACTGTAAGTGGCGCTGTAACTTCCGCCACAAAATACACCAAAAGCAGTGAAGAAGGCCCCGGAGCAGCCCGGAGCAATGTTGCCATGGCTACCCTTCTGTTTATGCCCCGCGGTGGATTTAGCAACATGTAGTAGTTCATGTAATTCTCCATGTCCACTTGTTGCTGATGGTTGTGGTAGAGGAGCTGTAGATTTTGCACTAACATCTGTAGCATGGTCGAGCTGTAGATGTTGCCTTTTATTCTACATTTTAGTTGTACTGTGAATTGTGTACTGTACTGTAAAGCACTTTGTACATTCGTGTTGAGAAGGGTGCTATATAAATAAAGCTTTACTTACTTACTTACTTACTAACATCTGTAGCATGGTCAGTAGCAGTAGCACTAGCAGTAGCTACTGGCTATGCTACAGCAGTGAGCAGCAGAGACAGGGAGAGGTGGGGCTATCGTTATTTTTTCAGGAAATATTCGTAGAGAGGCGATTGCACGGACTCGTTTGACCCCCCAGAGAGTTTCGTTTGCAAATCTATCCACCTTGGGACCCGTTATCGTTTGTGGGGTCCGTTTGTTACGGCCTCGTGTAAATAATAGGGCTATACGTAAGAGAAACTATGCAGATACAAGCCGTTTCGTTCTCGTGTAAATGTGGCCTTAGTTCCCAGCACTTATGGCGCGTTTCCACTACAGCGCGGAGCACGGTTTAAGAGGGCTGTGACGTCAGCGGCCCGTTTTTGGTTGCGTTTCCACTTGGCCTAGTACCGGCCGGCGGGTCCTAATTCACAGTTTTTCTGGCGTCATAAAATCGTGGGTCTAGGGCAGGGGTGGGCATTTTACGGCCCGCGGGCCACATCCGGCCCGTTGGCCGGCCTTGGCCGGCCCGTGTGAGGTTGATCATAAATTATAACATAATAAAAAAAACAGCAACCTTTTCAAAATAAAAGCAACACAGCTGTATTGCTTGCATGGCGTAAATACTTTTCTAACTGTGTTGCTTTTATTTTGAAAAGGGCGCTGCTGTTTTTTTTATTTATTTACGTAAACGCGCATGCCGTGAACAGCTACGAGTGATGCTGGCCGGCTAGTCCTCGAAATGTCCGCTAAGGGCAAAAAAAGAAAGATCGATACTGAACGCCGCATTTTCAACAAGACATGGACCGCTAAGTATTTATTTACAGAAGTGAAAGGTAAAGCTGTGTGTTTAGTTTGTGGTGCGCAGGTCGCTGTGTTCAAGGAGTACAATTTGAGTCGCCACTATGCTATCAAACACGCAGATAAATACAATAACCTGTCTGAGGAAGAGCGGGCAAAGGGGTCGGATGCTTTGCTAGCTAAGCTGCAAAGCCAACAACACATTTCCACAAAACATTCCACATCCAGAGATGCAGCTGTCAAGACAAGTTATGTCTTATCCCACAAAATTGCAAAAAAAAGTAAACCGTTTTCTGACGGAGAGTTCATTAAGGAGTGTTTGTTGGACTCTGCGAAAGTGAAATGAGAAAGTGCCGCTCTCCCGACGCACTGTTACGAGGAGGATTGAGGACATCGCGGGAAATCTGGAGCTTCAGCTGCAGAACAGAGCGGTCAACTTTGACTTTTTTTCCTTGGCTTTGGATGAGAGCTGCGATGTACGTGACACTGCCCAGCTACTCATCTTCCTACGCTTCTCTCAAGCCAAATGGAGGACAACATTCTCACGCACTTGCCAACACTGAAGGAAGCCACACCATCAGCTGATCACCTCCAGAGGTACTCATCCATGTTAGAAGCACTGCATGGTGAGTTTTCAAGGCGATTTAAAGACTTCAAAACAGTTGAGAATACAATGAACATGATCTTTTCCCCATTTACATGCCATGTGGATGATGCACCCAGTGATGTTCAGCTTGAACTCATTGACCTGCAGTCTGACACACTTCTGTCAGAGCACTTTAGGTCAGTCTCACTGCCTGAGTTTGACTCTTCCCTGAAAGAGGAGAACTTTCCACACATCAGGAGACGTGCTCAGAAGATGAGGGTCCTCTTTGGATCTACCTACATATGTGAACAGACATTCTCAGTGATGAAGTTCAACAAATCCAGATACAGATCCTCTATCACTAATGATCACCTCTCAGCTGTCCTTCGCATATCCACCTCAGACATTGAACCAGATTTCCGTGCACTTGTTCAAGCCCAAGACAGACTGGATTTTTCTCACTGAACAAGTAAAATTAACTGAAAAACAAAAATCAAAAGCACTCATTTCTTTTTGTATAAAGCTGATTCATTTCTTATCTTTAACATACAGTACTGTAAAACACCTTTTCAGTATTGGTATATTGAGCAGAATTAAGTTCAACTTATTTTTGATTCGGCCCCCCAACACAGCTCGAATTTCTGAAGTAGCCCCTTGTAAAAAATAATTGCCCACCCCTGGTCTAGGGCCAGAGACAACGAGGCTGAGTTGGGCTGAGTATGCTAAACTAGAGAGAGAATCGCTGGCAAGGGGGCTACAACTACAACAAGATGGACATATTTGACCGTGATTTAATTGTAATACACGTTTCAAAATGATGCCGAAGTAACAACATACTGATACCGGTTAGTAAAAACCATGAATTAATGCTTTGTCAAGTCTGCAGACAGACGGCAGGCGAAAAACATTTTAAAATGCGTGTTTTCTAAATGGAGATTGGCTAAGCTAACGCAGTATATGCTCCGACCGTCCACACTCACAACAACGGCCTATACAGACATAAATAAAGCAGCAACTGTATTCGCCATGACACAGGCAGTCTGTGGTTTGTACTTGTTTAACTTTTGTCTAGTTTCTGAACATATATGAGGAGCTGTGAGCTCTGAGGGCTAACAGCTAACGGCTGTGTTGTTTTTCTGGGGTTCTCATTGAAGATGACGTCACGGCTCCGCCTACACTGCGTTACTATAGATACTACCCCAGTTCCTAAACTGTAATGGAAATGCGCCATAAAGTGAGCCAGTCCTAACGAGGCCTAGCCATACCGAGCGAGGCCGAGCGAGGCCGAGCGAGGCCGTGTAGTGGAAATGCGCCACTAGTTCCCCCATGGAACTAAAGATCGCGTTCACACCGGAATAAGTCCCTGAGGGAAGATTACGCAAATGAAGCCGCTGACGTCACTTCTTCTTCTTCTGCTTTGGGTTTACTGGCAGGCCGCAAACAACTTCACGGCGTATACTGCCACCCGAAGTCCCCGGCCGGAAGTCCCCGGCCGAAGCCTTCCGAGTAAATCGCCAGAACGCCGACACCTCCTCATCACTCCACCGCTCCCACGTTTTATTTTGTGTTGCCATAAGTTAGTCTCTCTCCGTTGGTGCGCTGGGCTAATGCTAATAATGCTAATGGGAGCAAATCAAATGGCGGCTTCACAAAACTTTTTGGGAGTTTTACGGGGCGTGGTTTGCATCCGCCCAGCCAATCAGAAATGGGAACCTTTTTATCCCTTATTATTAGGGCTGTCAGTCGATTAAAATATTTTTTATAACATTTTTTATCTGTTCTAAATGTACCTTAGAGGGATATTTTTCAAGTTTTTAATACTCTTATCAACATATGAGTGGACAAATATGCTTTATATGTTTGTTTATTATCATTTGAACAATAATTTTGCTTTTAAACGTACTTATTCAGCAGACAGTGGCTTTGTAAATTATTCAGACATCTTCCCTTTTTGCACATTTAATTTTGTTCTAAATGTATAATTTGTAGAAAACATGTTTTTGGAAATGTTCACAGAGGGATAACAAGGTAAACAAAATAAAAAAGGCGGGTGGTAAACCATCTCTAAAAAAAGGAATGTCTAATTCGTCTAAAAAAACATAGTTTACTAAATAAAATAAATACATATGTTTACTGTACTTGATGGTGTTTCAGGAGGAAAAGTGCTTCAGTTCAACTCTCAAATTAGCTTCACATGTTCTCAATCAGCCTCAAAGGATACCCTAAATGAAGACAAGTTTAATAATCAATAATAGTTGCACTGTATGCACATACAACTTTCACTCGCACTGGTACCTGCAAATCTAAAAGTATATATATTTGATCTCGATCACAAATCTGTACATTTACACATTCACCTGATCAGAGTTTAACTCATACATGTTTTTTGTATTATCCTTGTGGACATAGTAATAAAGACTTTCCTCTGTCTCCCTCTGCTGGCAGCACACAGTCAGAGCATCAGCAGCAACATGAAAACACACTGAGAAGAGAGGGAAATGAAGAGCAAAGTGAGACCACACTGTCTTATTTACGTATACAGATATTTGTCAACTGGTGTGTAAATGAGCTCTGTGTCACATATGAACATAAACGCTTCAAAGAAAGTGTGTTAAACCAGTTAATTCCAAAGCAAATAAGCAAAAAAGTAACAGTTTTAGATGAAATTCAACATCTTAACTACTGTATTAACACATCCCATCAGTACAACACAAAATGTCATTTAATGCCAAAGGTATTCTCCTTTATAAAATCCATTACACACACCTATGTCATAAAAAAAAAGGATCTGACCTGAGGCTGAGACGAAGACGCCGGCCTGATGCAACACGTCTGACTCTCTGCAGAACTCATGGCCTTTGGGGGGAATTTTTTTAACAAAAAGTGCAGATAAAGCCGGATCAAACCTTTAAGTTGTGCTCTAAAGGTTTCTATTTACCCAAGCAGTGAGCCAGATGGCAACAAAACACATCAGGTCTCAACACACACGTAGACACACACACACACACACACACACACACACACACACACACACACACACACACACACACACACACACACACACACACACACACACACACACACACACACACACACACACACACACACACACACACACACACACACACACACACACACACACACACACACACACACACACACACACACACACACACACACACGTCTCCCTGTCATGTTATGAAAACAGCAGCTTGGATTAATGCTTAAACTTGCCCTCTGTGGGTGCGCTGCAGGTACAGTGCAAGTCTTCTTCCAGACACACAGTGAAGTAATGCAGGAAACATGCTCACTGTGTCCTCTCTGACCGTCTGCGACACACCCGTCCGGCCCTATGGATCATGGGAAGCTTGAGGAAGCTTTAGATTGTGTTTGGAGAGAGCGGGTCAAAGTCAGAGGAGCATGAGGAGGTTTTTCCGAGCTCACAGGGACGAGGACTTCAGTCAGATCCAGTATCTGACAGCCAAGTGCAGCCGCCTGGCGCACGACAGAGGTGAGTCCAGAAAGTTACACATTTACATTTCAGAGCCAATACTGTAGTTATACTTTATTGTCTGTAATGTTACTTAATTCCGTCAATCCTAATATTGTTACTGTACTTGAGGCACTAATAACTAAAAGTTGAAATAGAAAAAGACCCAGATTAAGTTATAATGACAAAATAAGTTATGAAGTACCATGTCTGAGTACAAGAGTAATGTAATCTAATGGAAGTGTAATTCAACACACACAGTACTGTAGTATCTAAAGGTACTTGGTGTTCAAGTTTGGATTTAGGCAACACAATACATTAAAGAAGCACAACAAGGTTAGAGAAAAAGTAATTTGACCTGTGAGAATAACATTTCTCATTTAAATATCAGAGCTTTGCATACGCACAAACACACAAGAAAACTAAAACAATAACTGAGAAGAAGACAAATCATAAAAGCCATAGAAAGCAGTTAAAAACAATTTGAATACAGAAAGGTTTTTATCCTCAATAAAAAAATGGTAATGCAGTTATAAAGCTTACAAGGTACCATATTTAATAACATACAGTACCAGAGAAATGTAAGCTAATGTGTCATTTAAAAAAGCACTGAGGTTTCTAAAAGTACTTGTTGGTCAAGTATGCATCATGCACTAAAATGAATCACTTCCCCCTCACTCATAACTAACAAAGACTCAAGCTGAATATTAACCTGTGTTTCCTGTGCACATTGTCTACAGTAGGTAATATAACTCAACCTGCTTCAAAGGTCATGACTTGAAAGTGAAACTGTTTGTACTGAAGCCTCAATTTACTCATTTGTGCAGATAAGATATCATTGAATTGTTCCCATGTTTTATTCTAGGGCAAGAATTGTATAATTGTTGGCAACAAGTCATTCATACCAGAAGCCGCCTGCTTCAGGCTCTTGTCCCTGCTTTTTAGAAAGCTTTGGAAACACACTCTATAATTAAGCTTTACTTCAGCTTTGGGATAAGAAGAAGAAGAAGAAGAAACACACTTTATTAATCCCTTACAGGGAAATTTCTTTCCCCACTCTGTTGTGTTTACACACATTACACACACAGGGGAGGATATACATGCACAAACACAGAGGATATACATGCACACACACACAACCACATGCAGATAGGAGAGGTGGCAGAGCAGAGAGGCTGCCAGGTACCCGGCGCCAAGGGAGCAGTTTCGAGGTTAGGTGCCTTGCTCAAGGGCACCTCGGCAGTGGCCTTGGAGGTGAACTGGCACCTCTCCAGCTACCAGCTCACTCCAACTTTTTTTTTTTTTTTTTGGTCCGATCGGGACGTGAACCGGCGACCCTTCGGTTAATAATAATTAAATAATAATTAAAAATAATTAATAATTAAAACATGCTGACATCATTTGTTAGTAAATTATAATAATACAGATTAGATATGTTTTAGTGTGTTCACATGGAGATCTGTCCTGCATTGCATGCTTGTAAAAATCAACAGAGCGACAAATTAAGACGACATAAAATATCTGTCAGATCAAGAACCTGCAGTCATCAGATAGACATTATACAATACAGCAACAGAAAACACATGCACGCACGCACACACACACAAAAAGAGCTCAGGCTTGCGTTCATGTTAAGTTTGGGAGGTTTAGTGTGAGTGTATGACGTATAAAAACAACATCCTATTTCCTGTTTAGACGTTTCGTTCTCAACAAGGAACAGGTGAATGAACAGTATAAAGAAAATAGTCCTTAGATGAAACTACCAACTAAGTCTGTGGATTATCTTCAGTAACCGGGTCATGATTTCTGTAAAGAGACATTGCTTTTGAGTTTTTCAAATGCATTATATTTGGATCTTTCTAGTTTTAGTTTTCTAGTTTTATTATATTAGAGATAAGGCAGACATCTCCACCACTGATATCTCCAACACTCGCTGGCAAATCCTGATCTTTGTGAACCTTTGCTAATGACTATAAGGAGTTGCAGACATAATGACAGACCCTAACTACAGTGTGTATTTGATGAGGACAATAACAACGTGAGAAATTAGACAAACAGAGCTGAGATCCAAGAAACATCAGTCTAAAAAGTGTTCATGCAGTGATTAGGTGAGAGAGTGGGAATACTTCAAGCCTCCAATGAGAGAAAAAGTATTTCAATGCCAGAAACGTCGGCCGCTGACATGTATAACCCTGCATTTAATGTGTTATGGCTTTCAAACATTATGGTTATTTTATGCTGTGGGCAGTAAAACATGCTTTTTCATTACCTTCCATTAAAACTAGTGGCACAGACTTTGTGCTTTATTGAAAGTCCTCTATGGTGGAGCAGTCCAAACCGGACTCGGTGTTGTTTGTGTCTGCAGCCGTGCTGGAGAGGGAGTTCCTGCTGTCCAGAGAGCGGGAGAGGAAGCTGCAGAATGATCTGGAAGCTGCGAGCGCTCAAATCTTCCACCAGGAGCAGCTGAACCTGGAGCTGAGGATGAGAGAGGACCAGCTGATCAGCAGGATGCACCGGCAACAGGTGGGCGGAAGAAAGGAACTACATGTCTGTGGAGGAAAGAAATAATCTCATTGCGTGGGGGTAATGTATTCATAGTATAGACCATCTTATAGTCAATACTTATATATAAACAACGGGTCAAATAAATATGTGCATCTGAAAAAAAGGCAGTAGTGGTTCCACAGAAATCACACAGGTAGTCGGTGTCGTGTCAAATGATCATATAATAATTTCAAACATATAGTCTTAGTTCCACTGCAGCGCGGAGCACGGTTTAAGCGTGCCGTGCCAAACCCGGCCCGTTTTTAACGGGTACTTTTTCACAGTTTTTCTGGCCCTCCAAAATCGTGGTTCTTTCTGGGCCAACAACCGGGCTGAGTATGCTAAACTAGTGAGAGAATCGCTGGCAACTACAACAAAATGAACATATTTGACCATGATTTAATTGTAATACACGTTTCAAAATGATGCCGAAGTAACAACATACTGATACCGGTTAGTAAAAACCATGAATTAATGCTTTGACAAGTCTGCAGACAAAACCTTTTAAAATGCGTGTTTTCTGAATGGAGATCGGCTAAGCTAACGCAGTATATGCTCCGACCGTCCACACTCACAACAACGGCCTATACAGACATAAATAAAGCAGCGACTGTATTCGCCATGACACAGACAGTCTGTGGTTTGTACTTGTTTCACTTTTGTCTAATTTCTGAACAGATATGAGGAGCTGTGAGCTCTGAGTGCTAACAGCTAACGGCTGATGTTGGTTTTGTGGTTCGCATTGAAGATGACGTCACGGCTCCGCCTACACTGTGTTACTATAGTTACTACCACAGCTACTAAACTGTAATGGAAACGCAGCATTATACTCTGATTGCCTTTTATTTGGGATTCATTTCACTTGTATATTGACTTTCTTTATTACTTTATTAAATATAACAAAATACAAACTTTGTCCATGAATCATTTAAGAATTTCCTCCACAGTCGATTCACATTTAGCAGCAAGAGTAGTACTTTATAATTAGATTCAAACTGAAGTAAAGCTACTCAGGAAAATAGAAAAAAGTCGGAAAAAACCTCAATAGATGCAATTTATTATCTCGATATATTGTATTCAGTTCTTAAATAGAGCCACTATTTTACTAATTGTTCTCAGGTGGCCAGATCACAACTTGTACATACATTTTATGTTGTGGTAAAGGATTTGTTTTGCCATTGGGGTCCCTTATACATGATGACCTTAGCATTGATTTGGAGCCTTTTTCCATAGCTGATTTATTTAAATCCAAATTCACTCAGATTATGGCTTTAGTTTTGGTCTCCACCTTCACCTGAGATTAACATCTGGCTCTTTACCTGCTAACGTTCCACTTTTTCCCCCAGCTAGGCTCTAATGCTAACTGTTTTGTCCTTGAAACATTAACAGTGGATTTATTTGTTTGCTAAAAAAGTTGCCTGCTTCAGCTGGGACAGAAACCAGACATCAAATGAGCCGTAAAAACCAAAACGATTAGTTAATAAAAAGCTTGAAAGGTTCCATATATCCAGAGGGTTTGCAAATATTTCTTCACTATGAGCTATGACTTTTCCCAGAACAGCTGTATTTGAACCTCAATCATTGATGTTACAGTTGAAGTCTTGTAAGGAAAACCTGACTTTAGGGACAATTTCTGTCCAATTTAGAGTTATTTTACTTTAATTTGTGTAATTTAAGCTCGGAGCGCTTAACCTTCGTACAATCCCATCATTTAAATGCACAAAGCCATGACCATAGCAGCGAGCCACCGATGCTGCAATTACTGAAATTACACTGGAATTAGGCTACCAGTAAGTGCCAGTGTTAACATACTGTAAATGCAGAGGCTTTGGCACTGGGTAGCAGCATTTTAGGGGATTTTGGCTCCTCCACACAGGTTGCTTAGAAGTGAGCTGTGAGCAGTTTAACTAAAGAGGGATTTTAGACCTTTTTTTCACCAGGAAAGAAAACAGACGAGAGAAAACCCAGAAAGAAACACTTGACTTTGTGTTCCAGAAATGGGTTGTTTTTTCTTCTTGTTTCAAGTCTCAGTCATTTTAAACTTCTTAACTTTATCACTGCTTCTCAGGAGCAAACTATAGCAGCTTCTCTAGAAACCCCGATGGTATTTGTTAGAGATCGTTTCACTCGCTCACTTTCCATAGATATATATCAGGTTTGGGCTTGTCACAAACTCTCTAACCTTGTAGGTGTGTTTTATATCACTCGTGCAGTCTGTTAAATAACTTAATTCTATGATCAGAACATCCCCAGGGAGATTTGAAAAGGTCACAGAGTCCTCAGTGATACGTGATTAATATGAATAGTTAATATGTGCCATTTATGTGTATGTTGTTTATATTTGAGTGTATTTACCAATTTTATGTACGCATCTGATTCAGATGAGATTAAGCTATTTCACTATTTAAGAGACAATATCAACACATACTTTAAAGGGGACCTATCATGCAAAATGCACTTTTTGATGTCTTTTATACATAAATATGTTTCCCCGGTGTGTCGGGGAACTCACGCAGCGTCAGAAAATATAACCCTCTCTCTTTTCCTCCGTACGCAAATCTCTAAAAACGGGGCTACAACGGAGCTGATCCAGATTTGCGTCCGATATGACGTAATATCGAAAATGTAGGCTGGCTTTACACCCACGGCCCTATCAGAAACTTTGTTATCAGAAACAATGCCCAACTGTTTTGAACGTAATATGGTCGGTGTTTACATTAGCATCGCTAACACTCAGAGCTAACCTGTACTGGAGAGCATGTGTGTGAAGAAGCAGGAAATAAAAAGGAACTCACCTTGTGGTATAACCGGCAAGAGAGAAAGCCTTTGAGCTCCATACTGTTTCAGAAATAATCCTTGATAATCCATGATATGGCGTTTCATCACCGCAGTATTTAGTTTAGACAGTAGCTGCCGGGTCCCGCATGAGCTCAGCCCCCTCCTTTTAAAAAAAAAAAAAAGCTTAATACCCCAAATCAGCACTTTTGAAACAGGAAGTGAAATAGAGGGATATGAGGCATGGCTAGAATGGGTGATCTGTTTGGTATTTTGAGCAAAACACTTCATAGACATGTTTTGTATATATTTGTATATATCTGAGACCTATGCTATTGCCTAAAAATAGCATGATAGGTGACCTTTAATAACACTACTCTATAACGATATGTGCAATGTTTGGCAGGACTGTAGAATATGTACAAAATAAGCAAATTGCAGCATGGTTTTTATTTATTATTCTTAACTTGCAAGCAATGCTAAAAAGTTACCTATAGCATATTGTTTGTATGACTCCTAACTATATGAAACTTTAGTAGATAACACATCTCTTCAAATGTAACAGTTTAATGGTATTGTTTAACTCTAAATAAGTAAAATTATTGTGCACATTGTAGATTTTGCACAAAAAAAACAATTATGATATGAACAGAATTCAGCAGAACAAAGAAAGCTACAATTCATTCAATAAAATAGTTTATCAAGAAGTGAAAATACTTCAATAAAATCAATGAAAACCTATTTAAGTGTGTATAAACCTTCTGCAGAAGGTATGTGAGTTGGTATTTAAAAGGTATAGGAGATGGAATTTAAAAGGTATGTGAGTTGGTATAAATAGTATTCTTATCTGATGTGCTAGTATCTCCATGTGTCTGCAGGACCTGGTGTCTGCCCTGCAGCAGAGGGTGGGACTGCTGGCGCGGGAGAGCTCTCGGGACGAGGAGCTGCTGAGGCAGGTCGGCTCGGAGCTGATGTGCCTGCAGAGCTCCGAGGGTAAGCTGGAGGGCCTGGTGGAGGAGCTGCACGCTGAGGCCCAACACAGAGTTGCGGAGGCAGTGAGCTTCCAGGCGGAGCTCCACGCAGAGGCCCAGCGCAGAGCCGAGCGGACGGAGAGCCCCCAGGCAGAGCTGCGCAGGTAGGCCCACTTTTCTTGTTATTTGAAAAATGTACAACAGATAAGTTATACAAACACTGTTGACATTTAGTAACACTTTCAACATGAGAAAAGGAAAATAATAGCTCATGTAAATGATATCTCAAGATAGATTCCTTGTGAGAAATAAAAAACATTTACTATGGGTTTAATCTGGAATATCAAGAAGACTCCATGATAAAGAATGTAACAAAAATAGCTAAGAGGGAGAGCAGCGGTCGCTTATTATTTAGATTTCCCTTCAAACGACAAAGAAAAGTAGAAATGCAAACTGATGTCCCGCCCCTTAGCCTATCCAACAAAGTGCTGGAGCGCTAGCCAATAGTGCGAGTGTTACAAAGTGATGTCACTATGTTCCAGAAGTAAACAAAGGAGTCCAATGGAGGCGTTTCTGGCAGATGGCGGAGTGTAACTGGAGGGAACACAGGGATTTTAGCCGTTGCAGACCATTTACATGCACTAAAACCTATATAACACACTACAGAAAACCCCAAAAAGCATAACCGGGCCTCTTTAAAAAACAACAACCTCACTTTTAGTGGGTGTTCTTAATTGTATTCACTAAATGTTAACATCTTTTCTTTCTAAAATGTATAAGCTTTTACTGCGCTGAAGACGAGGACCACAGCTCTGCGTTTTGGAGGAAATACCTGAAGACATGTCTGTGGTCACCTCCATGTTTTTGTTACCCACGTTGAATTGTTGACAGTGTGATTTGAACACATTCCTCCATGTTCCACCCAGCTGTTAAAACCGAGCGAAATGTAAAAACAAGCATTAACATAGATAAGGGCGGCAGACGAAGAAAATAAATGTTAATTTCATAAAAAAATACCACTAATGTTTGATTACCATCTGCAGTACACTGTAGCCAAGTGAAGCCGTCAGCAGCTGCTCTGAAAACCCACAACGTGTTCTCAGGACTGAAGGAAAACAGCTACCTGAGATTCAGCAGAAAGCAGCGCCGCGCCTCAAGCTGCTGAGTTTAAATCCCCGTGGAGAGTTGGTTTAGTGTCAGAAAACCTTATCACATTATGATTCAGTCCAAGAAGAAATACATCTCTACATCAACAGAGATATTTCAATATTTTGTATTTAACTCATTGACTTAAATGCATTTATACAACCGTGAAAATTGATATTTGTTGCTCCTCTGTGAAAGATTAGCATGATGGAGCATGGAGAGGTAAATACAGAAATCTGACGAAGATATGGAAGACACACCTGGAAAAACAATAGAAAATAACATAAATTACATTTGCCTTAAAGCCCTTTATACTTCTTCGTTCTCCTTTCAGTCATTTCTGCGAATGATTTGTTAATTAAAAAACTTAAATACTAGTTTGTTTTGGTTAGAGATTTAACTTGTACAGCACCATATAACACATTTTGTTTGTATTTAACCAACAAGTAATGACGTTATTTTAGATAAAAGTGTATTTTTGTAATGATTTTATAGGTTGGTTTTTGTGATAATAAATTCTGTTGTCAAACGGGATTACTGGATCATTTTGACTGGCTTATTCTTGTGTATTAATGTAAGAAAACAGATGAATGTTGGGGAATAATTTGCTTAGGTATTCAACCTTTGACACAGTTCATCATTTTCTCCTCTCACTGTCTCCTTTCCCGTGGCATAGGTCTACGGCCTTGGGTATTGCTGCTATCTCTCTTAAGGAGGAGCAGCTTGGGCGCATTGTTGTTGCCAGTCTATGACAGAGCACAAGCCGCCATGAGGTCGTTTACTGTTCAGGGACGAAGGTTCCCTGGCGCACATTCTTTTCTATGGACGAGAGCTCTAGTTAGATTCAGGGTCCATATTGCTTTAGTCTCACTGATAAAGAATGTTGATTATTACACTCCGAACTAGTTCAAACCTGGAACTTCTTCAGAATTGATTGTGGCATCTCAACCGTGTGGTCAACTCGTGGCCCGTGACGTGTCTTGTGAATTCTCTGGCCGAAGCTCCAAATAAACCGTCAGTGTTTGCCATCAAAGCTCCAGCTCTCCTCGTGTCTCTCTCTGAGTCCTGAGTAAAAACAGATAAGATAACACCTTTCTGTTTTGGTCCCAAACAGTAAGACGGAGAAGCTGAAGGAGCTTCAAGACACAAACCAAACGTTGACAGAGAAGCTGAAGGATCTAGAGTCGGCTCATCAGACGGAGGTAAGAGAGCAGATCAGGAATATCCTGCTTTTCTCAGAGACCACTGCTGTTTTGTGGATCTGTATATTCCTGTTGGTTTATACTTGATCAGGGCTACCTTTCAAGCCTTAAATCGTTAATATGCAAGAAGTTAAAAGTATAGTTGCACTTATTATTACTTTTGTTTTAATCAATCAACTGTTTAGTCATTAAATGTTATATACAAGTGAGAAATTGTTGTCACAAGTTCCCATTATCCCTGTCAAAGTAGGTGGGGAAACCAGCAAATATGTACATTTGAAAACAATTTAAGTTAGTCAATAATTTTGCACTTGTTTCAGCTATGTTGGGTGGACTAAAATCTAATGAATATTGACTAACATTGTAGATGCAAGCAGAACCATTTTTATTTCCATTTTTCAGTGATATGTGACTACATACTAATGCAGTGTGAATGCATGTGAACACATTTCTAGTTTATTTCTGTGTCCGGTCATTTACATAATCCATCCCTAATGAAATTATTCACACACATATGGGAGCAACAAATCAAACATGTAAATAACAACCATCACCTAACAGCACATCAGAAGTCAGTGGTTGTAATGTGACTTTTCTCCAGCAGATGTCAGGATTGGACGCTTTGTTTGTTGGTCTGCTCTGCTTGTGCAAATTGTTTATAGTTAAGTAATGGAGCTTTAATGATTTTACAATTTGTGTGTGGTATTTCTCTTTGCCAAGCTTGCAGCCAGCTCCTCCGATATAACGCAGAGCAGCCCATCAGCAGTCATTTTTAATACTTTCTCAGGCCAGATCAGGTCAGCGTGTCAGCGTGCCAGCTAGAAACACAGAATAACAAGTCGAGTTATCATTACGTTCATGAAACATAAAACCTCAAGGTCCAAATTTATGTGTATTTATGTACAAATGTGAGTAACTACAACCACCCATGAGCACGCTGTAATTCAGATGCTCTCTGGCAGTGGGTTAATGTGAGTCTGAGCATTAGTGAGACGTTCTTTAAAAAACTGTCAGGGTTTTTTTGGCTTCGAAGCCTCCCTCCCTTCCTGGCCTCTGTTTTCAGCGCTCCATCAAACAGAAAGCCATCCAGCGCTCCTGTTATCATCTCTCCTGAGAGGCAGCTGCTGAGCCTTAATGAGAACATCTATTTGTAATAAATAAAGTTAGTAAATGATTGTGAAAGTCCTGGGAGTTGACATTAAAACGTATGGGGACCAAAGAAAAAGGTTGTCCTGTTGACATGTCTTTTTGGATTAGATTAGATTGCCTTTATTGATCTTGTTGGATAATTTTTATATTTTTATTGAAAAATGGAAAATACTTAACCAACAATGTGAGTCAACTGGTGACTGATTTGAATTTGAATTTTAGAAACAACGGAAACTTTAATTAACATATACAAATATGTGAAGTTGGCAATAAGTGGACATTAATTATCTTAAAGGTCACCTATCATGCTATTTGTAGGCAATAGCATAGGTCTCAGATATATAAAAAATATATAAAAAACATGTCTATGAAGTGTTTTGCTCAAAATACCAAACAGATCACCCATTCTAGCCATGCCTCATATCCCTCTATTTCACTTCCTGTTTCAAAAAAATAAATTGATAAGAAATAAAAAAGGAGGGGGCTGAGCTCATGCGGGACCCGGCAGCTACTGTCTAAACTAAATACTGCGGTGATGAAACCAGAGTTCCCGTTAGAATAATTATTTGCCGGTCAACATGTCCGTTAAAGTTTAAATCTTCCAGACAAAATTAGAAAAGTGCCGGACAAAGGTCTTCTTTGTTATTTATTGAGCTTTAAAATAAATTGATATGATTCGATATTAAACAAACTAATTATAGTAGATTAACTATTCAAACGTGTACAGTAATTTACAATAACACGGGAATAATAAACGGAGCGCTCTCTCCCTCTCCTGACAGCCCGTCAGTATCATGCAGCTCGCGGATCCAGTAATGAATGACCCGACAGTAAAACTAAACATATCTATAACTAGTTATAGTAGTAGTTTGAGAGGTAATTAAAATAGCTACGTGTGATATTCTAACCTGAAGTGTGTGCTTTGCTCCACTCACCGCTGCAGGTGATCATGCAGAGCTGCGTGTCGACTCGTCAGCAGCAGCTGATCTTTCTCTCCCGTCAGATTAGACTTCACTCGCGTTTATGTCCATATCGATCAGATCTAGCTAGTTCTAGCTAATGATATGACTACCTGCTTAATAAAAGAAACCTAAACAATAAGCGTCGCTATGCAACCGGGTGAGGCCGCAAAGTATAGTGCAGCATTATGCATTTGTTTACATGCCAACCGGAACCCAGAGGCATTACCAACAGATCAATGCACAATCAACCCATACAGGACATCTCTTTCTCCACATTAAGTGTTAGACATTAGAATTGACTATTCTTGTCTGTCACATACTATTCTTGTCTGTCAGATAAGTGGCGCAACTGATGCGGTATTGCGTTAAGGGGAAATAATTTTGACCGGAGAGATTTAGATTTGCCGGTCTTCAGCATATTTGACCGGTCATAGTCCGGTAATTACCGGCTAACGGGAACTCTGGATGAAACGCCATATCATGGATTATCAAGGATTATTTCTGAAACAGTATGGAGCTCAAAGGCTTTCTCTCTTGCCGGTTATACCACAAGGTGAGTTCCTTTTTATTTCCTGCTTCTTCACACACATGCTCTCCAGTACAGGTTAGCTCTGAGTGTTAGCGATGCTAATGTAAACATCGACCATATTACGTCCAAAACAGTCGGGCATTGTTTCTGATAACAACTTTCTGATAGGGCCGTGGGTGTAAAGCCAGCCTACATTTCAGATATTACTTCATATCGAACGCAAATCTGGATCAGCTCCGTTGTAGCCCCGTTTTTAGAGATTTGGGTACGGAGGAAAAGAGAGAGGGTTTTATTTTCTGACGCTGCGTGAGTTCCCCGACACACCGGGGACACATATTGATGTATAAAAGACATAAAAAAGTGCATTTTGCATGATAGGTCCCCTTTAAGGAAATACTTTACCCAAACTATGTGATTGAAATATAACTTCAACAATTGTATTTATCAAACAAGGACAATGGATGAAAATACTTTATTATCAACAAGAGAAAGGATGTTTTTTTGCCAGTTTTGGCTATAATATTATTTCCATCTGGACAGGTGCGTGCATAATATCCACATCACTTAAAACATGACATAGTCTCCATCACACTGACAATTATAAAAAAGCTCAACATATAAATACCAGGATGTTCACTGAAGAGTTGGTCATTCTTTAAAGAAAATATAAACCCTGGTTCCAGCTCTTTAAATGTAACAATGTAGTAGTTTTCTGGTGTACTCCGCCTGCTCTGACAGTAAAGATGTTGTTTTTGTACTGTTCCCGGATCTCAGGTCCATGCTGCAGCTGTCCCACCAAGTTAAAAGTGGGTTCGGGTGTTTTTTAAAGGTTTTTAAACTGATATGTTTGGAGAGCCCCTGGGCCAGCGTCTAACTAGTTTCGCTGCATCACGTGACCCCTGCTTTTATACTGTTAATCCACACTCTGAATGTGTGCTGTGGTCTCTCTCTGAGGTGAGGGGGCTGACGGAGGAGAACCAGCGCAGCCTGAGGAAGCTGCAGGGCACCGCGGAGCAGTTTGAGTGGCTCTGTCAGCAGCAGCGCTACTGGATGTGCTGTGTCAAGAGGTCAGTATGTTCTCCTCCAACTTTTACACTCACAAAGAGCATCTGAGACACAAGAGCTGAGGTGTACACTAGTTTTTATAAATGACACGTAAGAGGCCCTATTGTGCTTTTAGTGGGTTTCCCCTTTCCTGTAGTGTGTTCTATAAGTTTGTGTGCATGTACATGGTCTGCAAATGATGACATCACTATACAACACTCGCCCTTCTACTGGCTAGCGCTCCAACACATTGTTCGAGATAGGCTAAGGGGCGGGACATCTCTAAGCGGTTGACCAATCACAACAGAGCCGGCCAGCTAACCAATCAGAGCAGACTGGGCTCTGGTTTCAGACAGAGGGTGAAAAGAGGTGCTGCAGCACAGGCAGTATGAGAAAAATAAAGAGCTTTTTGAACATTAAAGCATGGACACATGTCACAGGACAACATACTAATATGTCCCTGAAAATGAGAACAATAGGGCCCCTTCAATCTTTGGGAAAAGACCCATTCCACAGCTGGTCCTTGTGTTACTGCTTTTATTTTAGATTTTCGTTAATTTACTGTAAGAGGAGATGCAGAAACACCCACCTTAGGGGTACGAATCCAATCTTTTTTAATCGTCTAAACCTTTTCTATTCTCTCAGCTTGTCAATGTGTGTAAACAAATGTCTTTCCACAGATTCAAAGACTGCCTGATGGAAGAGAGAGATGCTCTGCTGCGACAGGTCATCCTGTTGAAGAAGAAGACACAGAAACTAAAGCAGAGGTTACGTGATGACAGTCAGAGCGTCCTCTGTCCCCTGCAGGACTCTAAATGCTGCGACTGGTAAGAAATCAGACAGATGCAACAAACAGTAAACTCATCACTTTCATCAAGCTGCACGTCTGAGCCAGAAATCAACTCTGGAGTGTTTTAAAACAGACTCTTCATCTCCGATCATTTTTATACATTTTCCATGTTGGCCCACTCCTACATGCTTTCCACTACAACACAGTTTACAACATGTTTTTCTTTCAAAACAGCATAACGTTATGGGATGCCGATGCAGTGGCTGACCTGGAGTCTCAGGTGGAGAAGTCCAACATGCTGTATGCAGAGCTCTTTAACCAGGTAGTAATTTCATTTTCAGCTTCTTATGGTCACACAATTACCATGCAGGACAGATAGTTCCTTGCAATATCAAAACATCACTTTAAAATCCATCTGTTTAAGCTTTAAAGGTCCCCTGTTATACTGTTGTTCATCAATATATTAAAGGTCTCAGATATATACAAAACATGTCTCTGAAGTGTTTTGCTTGAAACACCAAACAGATCATTGTAGCATCCCATAATCCCCTCTGTTTCAGCCCTGTTTCAAAAGTGCTGATTCTCTGTCTGTTACTTTAAGGTCCTTACACACCAAGCCGATTTTCGGCGTCGATAGATGTCGGGCCGTCGATGAGCGTCGTGTCGCCCTACTCAGATTGGTGTGTACTGCATCGTCGTGTCTTTTCGGCCGTGCCAACACCTTCCGCCGCCAATTCGACATGTTGAATCGGGAGGCCGTCGGCCAAATAAATCACTCTGATTGGCTGCTCAGCTTAGCGAATCAGTGCATGAGAAGCAAAACGGAAGTGAGGGACCCAAACAAACTATTAAGAAGGCAAATCTGAGATTTCCTTTAACTCCAGCTCTCGACACAGGTTCGGGAAAGCCCCATGAGCTTCTCGCTGTAGAGTGAAAATGGAACGCACACGCTATTTGTTGTTTGTTTATATCACGCAGTCTGTTCTTCTTCTCTCGGTATATCACGCAGTCTGTCTTCCAGTTGTTGCCTCTTTTGAATGACGAATACACACTACCGACGCTTGCTGGTAAGGAGAGTTATTGCCACTCACGCATGCGCAGTTCCTACGTGCAACTTGGCCGTTGGCTGAAGTCTTTGAGGTGTGTTCCAGTGCAGAACATGGCCAAGACGCAGGAGATGTGAGGCGACGTGAGGCGACGTGAGGCAACGTGAGGCGACGTGAGGCGAAGTGAGGCGACGTGAGGCGACGTTCCGTCGGGACGTGTTCTTTGGTGTTCTTTGGTGTCAGTTTGGTGTGTAAGGACCTTTAGATGAAAATAAGGAGCCCCTCCCCACGCCCCTCTGAGAGATATTTGGTTAAAAAGAACACAATGGTGCTCTAGGAGGAGATTCAGGTGATAAGGTGGGGGGGGGGGGGGTTACCTTGGTTGGTGATTGGCTAATGGTTACACAAGCCAAAAAATCGTTATGACATCATAAAGTGGCCAAAATCTGATCAGCTCATTTTCAGACAGGTTTTGATATAAATGGATCAGGACAAAAAGAGAGAGAATCTTTTTTCCTGAAACTTTCAGAGTCTCTTTACACAGAGGGGACACATATTGATGTAGAAGAGACATGAAGAAGTGGATTTTGCATAATAGGTGACCTTTAAAATCCATCTGTTTAAGCTTTAAGTCCTGTGTTTACCAAACTATGGACGTGGTTTAGGTGGCTAGCGATGGCACTGCAGCGGCCACAGACATTGATCCATGTATTTTAGAAGGACCCTCAGATCAAGCTTTCTCTTACAAACTCTTTCTGTACTAAATCATCTGTAGATCAAAGACAAGATCTGATCTGAAGACTGAAATAAAAGACGTCCAAAACTAACAGGACTAATATTCCTCTGAGATCGACTGCCAGTCCCTACGGGGCGTTGTCAAACATCCAGAGCTCTGAAACCTCACGAGTGCTCGGCCTCATCATCGTTTTTGTCTTTTAGAGATGACTTTAAAGCATTCATATAATCACAGGATGACCGCAGAACGTTCCCTTTAAGACGATCCCAACACAGAGACAATCTGTCAGTCGTTTGTTTTGTATGCCCATCCATTCAGCCCGACATTAAGACATTAAAGCGGCTGTAACTTCAACAAAGGGACGACCATCATACGGCCTTTGCTCAAAACCAACTTTGGGTCTATTTACTCGTACTTTAACATTTGGCTTAAGTTCTATTAGATTTTTGAGGGACCAGTATCTTCAGAGTTCAGAGTTTTCTTTGGATCAGTGACAAGATCTGGAGGGTGAAATGTAAGAAATCCAGAAACTCAATAATACTAATATTGGGCACAGCTGCCAGTCCTCAGTGGGTTTGTTTTGGTGCCAGGACTTTTTGAAGAGAACTCTGAACCCTCATGGGCACCGAAGGCTCATCAGTGTCTTTATTTAGTCTGTCGTCTGTGTATTTGAACAAAGAAATACGATGAGTACATTGTTCGGCAGCGTGAACGTACGAGGAGGGAGAATGATCGGGCGTATATCAACGCTAAAGGGAATATAATCCAAGTCTCATTATTTTAATCATTACTCTCAAAAATGATCTGGGTATAATACAATTTAAAAAAAGCATTTCTTCCTTTAAAATCGGCAGTTTAACGGATTGTAACTTACATTTCCAAAATGAGCAGCTTTTTTGCATTTCACCCCCAACACATTAGACCTTTTCTTGCAGAAGGTTTTTACCTACTCACTTTACTGTAAACTATGGAGATCAGTGTGTTTTTGGGCTTGAAACACCAATTTTAAAGTATATTGGAGCAAAAAAAACTGGGGGAAAACGATTAGAACTGATCTGTCGTTTTCTGAAAATCTACAAATAGGGATTTTTGCCACTGCTAGGGTCTTAATTTTGTAGTTTTTATGTCAATTCGTTCAATAAGTAATAATAATATTGTACTCACCATGTTCCTGGCTGGTACTGCGAGTGCGGTAACATCTGCAAAAAACAACAAACCAAAAAACAAACATTTAGATATTTCCCGTGCGATGAAACAACCCAGATGTTCTCTGTTTGGTTTGGCCAAATAGTAAGACAATGACACAATCACTGAGACAATAGGTACACTTTCTGCATATTGAAACCCCCTGATCCTTGTTTCTTAGATCTTATTTTGGTGAGTGAGATGTTATTGTAGCTGAAATTCTGGCAAAAACTACAAAAACAAGACCCCAGTTAAGTGGACGAATAAATGAATGTGCAGGATAAATATTATCTTGATTCATGAGATGCTTCTCATTTAAAAAGAGAAGCTTTGAGAGATGTTTGTTAATACATCTTCAATGGATAAGATGCACAGTAGCTGCCCTTTTGACTTGAATGGCAAAAATCTCTTTACCTTTCAGGCTTTAAAAGTGCAAATCTCAGGGGTGAAATGAGAATTTGAAAACACAGACAGTCCTCTGAGCTACTGCCAGTCCCCCTGTGGAGTAAGACATTCATGAAGATGATGCTCCATGGGCACTGGAGTCAAATCAGTCCTTTATTTCCCCTGTCCGTCTGCTTTAAAAAGGTCAAAAAGGGCTTTGAGGGAACTTTTGATTGCAAAATATCTCTGCAATCAAAAGTTCTTCAAAGCCTCAGAAACCCTACAAAGAGCTCCTTCACAAATCCTGACAGGACGCTTTTATTTTGAAGATCCCAAAAAGGTGTTCGCTGTCCGCTTTTTGGGGATTTTTATAAGCTCCCACATCTCCAGAGTGACAACAAGCTTAGGTTGTTTTTTTTTTAAATGTGTGGATGAGAGGAAGCCTGACAGGAAAGTACATAGAGCGGATTCTCGTGTGCCAGTCCTCAGAGGAGCTATGGTTGTGCCAAAGCTTTGAGACATCGCTGATACTTTCTGGGCACATCAGTCCTCTCTCTCTCTCTCTGTCTGTCTGTCTGAAAATGGCCGCCTCCCAAACCTTCCTCTTCCAGAGCAGCACAGAGATGACTAATAATGACTTGAGGGAGCCGAGTGCCAATAGCCTCTGTGCTTCTTTCCCCTCACCTCTCACAGCTGCATTTCTCTGGATAATTATTGTGATTGAGTGCAGATGATGCACGGTGCTTTTTCTTTTTTTAAATGCAGAGCTGAGAGGAAGGGAAATGTAGCTGGAGGAGCGGGGACTGCCGGAGACTTGGAGGAAACAACCGTGATCAAACATATTACCAGCTTCCACATGATTTATGGTCACTGTAGATTTATGTTTTGTAGACGTGGGTATCGCTGGTAGTTGCTAAACATTAGAGTAAAATGTAGAGAGAAATAGGTTAAGTAAACTTAACATTTCAAAGCAACAAATCAAATAATTCTTAACTTTTTTTGAGTTATTCGATTTAACTTAATTTATTTACCTTAAAGGGAACCTATCATGCAAAATGCACTTTTTGATGTCTTTTATACATAAATATGTGTCCCCAGTGTGTCAGGGAACTCACGCAGCGTCAGAAAACAAAACCCTCTCTCTTTTCCTCCGTACCCAAATCTAAAAAAAAACGGGGCTACAACGGAGCTGATCCAGATTTGCGTCCGATATGACGTAATATCGGAAATGTAGGCTGGCTTTACACCCACGGCCCTATCAGAAACGTTGCTATCAGAAACAATGCCCGACTGTTTTGGATGTAATATGGTGTATGTTCACATTAGCATCGCTAACACTCAGAGCTAACCTGTACTGGAGAGCATGTGTGTGAAGAAGCAGGAAATAAAAAGGAACTCACCTTGTGGTATAACCGGCAAGAGAGAAAGCCTTTGAGCTCCATACTGTTTCAGAGATAATCCTTGATAATCCATGATATGGCGTTTCATCACCGCAGTATTTAGTTTAGACAGTAGCTGCCGGGTCCCGCATGAGCTCAGCCCCCTCCTTTTTTATCGTTATCAATTTCTTTAAAAAAAAAAGCTTTATACCCCAAATCAGCACTTTTAAAACAGGAAGTGAAATGGAGGGATATGAGGCATGGCTAGAATGGGTGATCTGTTTGGTATTTTGAGCAAAACACTTCATAGACATGTTTTTTATATATTTGTATATATCTGAGACCTATGCTATTGCCTAAAAATAGCATGATAGGTGACCTTTAAGCTTCGAGCCTTTCCCATAAGGGTGCAGGAAGTGTTGAACTTCCTCATGTTTGTCTGAAATCATGTAATTATTTCAAATTAGAAAAGTATAGATCTTTTGAGAATGTTCACCTTATGCATGCTGGGAAGTACTTGCCAATAAACATGTTTCAAAAATAACTGTGAGTCAATGAAACAAGCCACTGGATATTTGGTCTGCTGAAATCAAGATTACACATTTCTATTTTTTAATTAAACTTAAACTTTTTTTTATCAAGCTTACCTGTGCTTTTTTCAATAGCCTTTTAGTATTAAGACAACATGAAGAAAGAAGTCAATTTTAACCTCAGAGGTATTTTGACCTGCCATTTCTTACTGGGACATTTCTCCTAAAGACATTTCTCTCTCTGATTTCGCTTCTTGCACATGCTTTGTTATCTTTGGTCATCTTCACTTACAGTTTATTTTCTGTCCTCAGGCAGGGAGTCCTATCAACGAACACCAAAAACCTCCTTGAGGACAGAAGCCGGGACTCGTCTCTTTTCTCTTCCCACCTTCAGCAGACCAGAGGAGAACCACTGGATGTTTGTGTGTGTGGTAACCTTTGTGGAAAACTTCCCAGTTATTGTCATAAAAACCCGAAAAACCTTGGAAAAACAAACCATATTCAACGATTTTCTTCCTCCATTGTTCACCTGTCTTAAAAGGAATCTGCTTCATGACATACGACTGAATAAAACCCTCCTCTCCTCCTTTGTTGTGACACATGTGGCTAACGTTCCTAAAGTCACATTTCCCTGTAATTGTCCATTATTCAGACCTAGTAATTAACACTACTAACAAGAGTGAAAAGCACCTGAGAATGTTCTTTATTTTTTGTTGTTTTGCCAACGAATCCTCGCAGGGGAAGCAGCAGCTGGTGTGCAGAGGAAACAACAAACGTGTTGTTTAGACCAAAATGAAGCTCTAATTATTCCCCCACTGAGAATCTGGTACATCTCAACCCTGATGATCAGATCTCCTCACTTATCGCCTGTCAGCCAGAATCCAAAGCTTATGTGAGCTGATATTGGCTCGGACTAACACTGACGCCTCAGAGGATTCATCACATGTGAACCATATGATACCCAAATGCTGTAAAAGCCAGAATACAAGAAGCTATTGTTGGGAAATACATTTGAAGCATCGGTTATGTCATCATTAACTATGTATTAACTGCATCCAACTGAGAGTTAATAGAGTTTGCCTTGAGGAAGTGCCGTGTTTGACTCAATACTGAATGCATTAAGCAGCCATAGACCATTATCAGGTAATAAATGCCTTCTTACCTGGTGTGCTATTACTCAATCAAGATTATCTTGGTGTGAGTGTTGGAAATATTGTCAGCAAAGATGTCTGCCTTTTCTTGATTATAATGCAACTGGATGGCAATTGGCTTGTGGTGCAAGAAGCTCCTAAAACACATTTGGAGAACTCAACAGCAAGAAATTATGACCCATGAAAAACATCTTGAACCAGTTACTCAAGATAATCCTCAGTACTTGTTGTGAGCAGTTTCATGCATTTTTTTTTTAAACTGTAAGATTACATCTTCTCGTGGAAGAGAGGCTGGTGCTTTAGACAACTGGAAATGTTAAACTCTATGATGTGCTCTCTGTCTAAGGTGTAGCATTAGCACGTTTAGCTATATTCTTGCACAATTGTTGGTGGTTGTTGTTAGGTAGAGAGAAAATAGTTCCTATATGAGACTGCTCACAACAAGGTCAGTGAAATATCTTAAGAAGCAGGGTCATTATTTCTGGAAGGGCCATTGCTGTTGAGTTTTTCAAATGTATTTTTGGGTGGATTTAGCACCATAAGCCAGAGCCATCCAGTTACATTATGATTAAGAGTAGGGTTCTTGAATAAAATAATAATAATGCATTTGATTTAAGATGCCTTTCATGACACCCAAGGACACCGTACAGTTAGTTACATATTCTAAGAGTTAAAAGCAACAGAACTTAATAAAAACACAAACATACCATCATGGAGAAGACACTTAAAATGGACACAAATGATAGGGACAGGTTATATATATATATATATTATAAAATGCATCTTGTCTGTTATGTTTTATGAGGAGGGTGTGTATTGTATTGTGTGTTTTCAATGTCCAATTTGGTCTTGACTGTTATCCTGGAATTGTTTGTTATTCTGTTAAGAGCATACTGAGGCAAATGTCTAACTAAGTTGTATGGCAATTAATGATTAAATCTATGTTGATAAATAGCACTAAGAGAACAGTATATTAAGAAGTATCTTCATATTAAAGCCACTTTGTTGCATCCTCTTGGGCCTTCCCTTTTAATGTGTATTTTGCAACTGTGCATGGTCATATCAAACTCGTTTGCATGATCATTTTACGAAAATTGGTACCGGTTTGAAAGTTGTGCCACCAGGACAGAGAGTAACAGTGTTGATGCCTTTTCTTAATTCTTAAAAACAGATCTAAGAATAGCAGTCTAGCCTAGATTTCTCCCAGACAACCTACATACAAATATGCTGAAATGTAACCTTGGAATTGTTTCTTCATGGCGAAAATAAAACTGGTTAACCTGGTTTTAACTACTAAGAAGTCAACAACAACTTGCCAAACCCAAAAGGAATTTACTTTTTTAAAACCACAACCTTTTTCCTAACCTCAATTAAAAGTTTTATTAGCCTAAACTTACAACAACATGCAAGACAGGATGCTAATTCTGGTCTCAGGTGTGCAAGTCTTATATGTTAAAGGTACAGGCATTGGACCATACACAAGGGACAATCAATGCCATGATGACGGGGAAATACATTAAGATTATTCGTAAAACTAAATTCTTTAAAAAAGTTGGTGTAAAGGCAAATAGTTTCCACTCACTCTAAACGTAAACAGTTCCCAGCCCGGGGATTAGCTCAGCATTTTAGTCATCAACCAAAACACTGAATCTCATTTCCTCTCCCTGTGTGATAATGAGGGTGAACACCTAAATTAATCCTAGGTATCAGGATCAGAGGGTGCTTACCATGAAGCTGACTTTGCATTAAACAGGTAAACAGTCAGTTTGTTCATTTAAACACGATGCCAGGGGGCACATGTGGATGTAGAGGTGGTAGAACGGGTCTTAAAGGGGCAAATATTTTTCTAACAAGCTAAACAACAACAAAAAATCAAAAGGTCAACAAAGGATAGAAGCAAAGACATACGGGACAAGGGAAAATTAAGTTGCTTGATTGTAAGGAAACAAACAGATTTAAGATTTGCCCCCAAACCTTTACACCTAAAACTCCTAGCCTTTAGAAAAAGTTGTAGTAGTATTTCTACTTAAGTTGAATAGTGGAAGGGTGCCTTATATGCAAATTGCAATAGCTGCGACCATGCATCATTTATGTCAATTTTTTGCATCTTAGGGAACAAACTGTGGCCTATAAAGGGTGGGGAAATATTTGTGGATCAACCAACAAACATGGTGATATTTAGAGTTAGAAAATGTGACTGTATAGGAAATGTATGACTCAAACAAGGTGTGTAAGTGTTACAATACTATTTACATTGGAACAATACTTGAACTGTGTCATAAGAACTTCCAGGCAATAATTGCTTTATTTTATCAAGTAATGGAATATCTAGGGCTGAGTTAGGGTCTCAACTTTCGAATTGCCAGTCATTACCAATCAATTTCTAGTCGGGATCAGTGGGTACAGGTCAGTTCAGGTCTGAGTTTGTCACCCAACCATATAAAGTGCCGCTCCAGGTGGTCTACTGTACGTGCCCTCGCCCCTGAAGGAGCACCACTAGAAAGTAATATGTGCATGTATTTGAAAGTTGTGTAACATCCACATCTGGCATGGGTGTTGAGGGTGCAGCGGTACCAGCAGAGGTGGCAAAAGTACACACATCCTTTACTCAAGTAGAAGTACAGATACTCGTGTTTAAAAATACTCTGGTAAAAGTAGAAGTACTGACTAAACTTTTTTACTCAAGTAAAAGTAAAGAAGTATAGGCTTTGAAATGTACTTAAGTAAAAAGTACCCATAACTAGCAGCTGTTTTAAAGAGTACCTGACCTCCCTTTATATTAATAGAACAATAATGTCATTGTTAGCTAATGAATGTTTCTGAACAACGGCAACATGACAACGTTTTCATTGGTCCCTCTTCTTTAGAGAAGACCAGGAAATGATGGATACATGGATCGTGTTCAAATCAATAGGCACGCAATGACTCTAAATAATAATGATCACGCCACCAAACACACATTCAAACTAAAGTAACCAGCCTGTTTTGAAAATGTAAGTAGTAGAAAGTACAGGTATTTGTGTAAAAAATGTAAAGTAAAAAGTTGTCAGAAAAACAAGTAGTGGAGTAAAGTACTGATACCAGAAAAATGAACTTAAGTACAGTAACGAAGTATTTGTACTCCACTACTTCCCACCTCTGGGTACCAGCAGCGAGGTGATGCTGCTCTCAGAAAGACGCGCTGCAGAATCAGCGTTACGTCTTGTCAGAAAGGTTCGCCCCAGATCCGCGACGGCGCCAACGACCCTGAGAGACGCCAGTGGCAGCCGGCCCTCTGACTGCTAAGCGCCGAAAGAGAAAAGAGTCTGACCTAAATGTGCTGTGAATGGCAGAGGTGTAGCCAGATATTAACAACGTGTGGCAGCTGGGAACAAGTCGCGTTTTCACACAATAAATAATGCTTCATGCTTCCATGCAGAGCGAGACTCAGACATTATAGTCATTATTAATAGAATAGTTATATGTACAGTAAGAATAGCATGTTTATGTCCAGCCGTCGTCACAGCCAGACAAAACACATTACAGATATTTAACACCAGGATATGGCCATAAAAAAAAAAACATGAGACTTGTTAAAATGCAGACCGGGGGACTTGTATTTCCACGTGTGACTTTTGTCTGTGCACTTGCTCTGTATGTGTAGGTTATACAGATTATAAATAACACCACATGGGTTTGGAAAATGCTAAATTATTGTGAATAGAATAGCGTTCACTAAACATTTATAAGAGTCCACTTAGAGAAAAATCCCTCTGTCTCACAAAACAAGCTCTGGGATGGCACATATTTCTTTTTGCGGTCGGAGCTTAAACGGAAACACAAAATGTTAGGGAAACATGAAGTCACGTCCTATTCGCCCCTCGTGAAGATGAGACTTGAATCCAGCTGAGTTGAAAGCTGTTTACTCCGGTCTCTTCTGTGTATGGTGCTGTTTGGGTTCATCAGATTGATTACTATGGATGTTTTGGGACTTTTCTCCCTCTCTGAGTAAAAGGCAAGCTCCTCGTCCGCATGCTAATGTAAAACAGAGCGGGATGATGTGGTTTTCCCTCTGACACTGTTTGGATGGGTATGTAAATGTTTAACAGTGGCGTGAGTACACACACACAAGGGTTAGGTGTCGGGATTTTGAGAGGGTCTTGTTTGGGGTTTTAGATGTGAACGCCCACGCTGCGTGCCGCTAACAAGCTAACGGCACAAAGCTGCATGTAAACAATAAGCTATTATTTCCCCTTAAGAAACATTGACATCACATGCAGAGGAATCCTCTCCATAAACACAATTAATAGTGAAAATGTAAACCTGACAATGTCCTGAAAAAGGAGCTCAGGTTCTCCAATGATAAAGCAATCACAGCACATATTAGATGTGTGTGTTTTATAATAAATTAGATATTTTAACTAGCAAGGTGGCAGTTTGTAGAAACCAAAGTCCATGTCTCACAAGTTACAGTAACACAAATATAATGCAAAAAGAAAAATATTGAATATGATAAAGCATTCATTCATGTATGAATAAAACATATTTGAGTTTGTTGCATGACTTGGTACTAGAACTTGTTTTCTTTGTCCCTCTGCAACATTTCTTGGATTGCGAATAAAGACTATTGACAAGTTAATCACTATCATGCAAGTGTGCAATGGCAGTCACCAGTTGTGTTGTCTTTGTGGTCAGAATGTGGATCTTTCAAAACAAGATGTGACACGAGATCAGGAAAAGCGGCACGCAATGTTCAAACTTACACGATTATTTAATGTTGCTCAAGAATGCATGTTCATCTACTTTATTTTGTATCTTCCTCCTCTTGTTGGCTATGTGATTGTTAGTGTGTGTTTATGAGAAAGGCAGAACAGGAAGAGATTGATCTTGAATCTGATTCACATATCATTCCAGCATGTCTGAAATGTGCTTGAATACTTCTTTCTCTGAGTACTCTAACCCTAACCTACATTGGTGTTTTATCCTATCTTTTACTTGCTGTGTTTTATGCCTTTTATTCTACATTTTATAGTCGTATTTTGTATTGTGTATTGTGTACTGTCTGTAAAGCACTTTGTACATCCGTGTTGAGAAGGGTGCTATATAAATAAAGTTTTACTTACTTACTTACTAACCCTAACTCTAACCCTAACCCTTACTTACTAACCCTAACCCTAACCCTAACCTACTAACCCTAACCCTAACCCTAACTTACTAACCCTAACCCTAACTCTAACCCTAACCCTAACTTACTAACCCTAACCCTTACTTACTAACCCTAACCCTAACCCTAACCTACTAACCCTAACCCTAACCCTAACTTACTAACCCTAACCCTAACTCTAACCCTAACCCTAACTTACTAACCCTAACCCTTACTTACTAACCCTAACTTACTAACCCTAACTCTAACCCTAACCCTAACCCTTACTTACTAACCCTAACCCTAACCCTAACTTACTAACCCTAACTCTAACCCTAACCCTAACCCTTACTTACTAACCCTAACTTTAACCCTAACCCTTACTTACTAACCCTAACCCTAACCCTTACTTACTAACCCTAACCTTTACTTACTAACCCTAACCCTTCTCTCTCCATCTTTTATTTGATGAGGATGTCGAGGTGCAAATCCGGCTGGAAACAAACGCTGTTCAGTGCCAGAAATTGGTGGTGTTAATGATAAGAAAATAAGTGAAAAATGAGTCATAAATAGGACGAAATATGTCTGAGTTGTGGCCTGGCAGGAAAGCAGGAGAGGGCAATGAAAAACAAGCGTCTTTGGGAAAAATCTGGCAAGTGTGATGTGAAAACTAACGTGAGAAAAAAAAAACGTCTTATATTTTATGAGGATGTTGTGGCGCAAATCTGGTTGGAAACAAACGCTGTACAGTGCCAGAAACAAGTTGTGATGATGAGAACAAAAAAGGTGTACACATGTGTCAAAAATAGGGAGAAATATGGTAGAACTGTGACCAGGCAGGAAACTGAGACATGAAAAACAAGAGTCT